ATTTTTAAAAATATTTATTTATTTATTTATTTATTTATTTATTTATTTATTGTCTGTGAGTACACTGTAGCTGTCTTCAGACACACCAGAAGAGGGCATCAGATTCCATTACAGATGGCTGCGAGCCACCATGTGGTTGTTGGGAATTGAACTCAGGACCTCTGGAAGAGCAGCCAGTGCTCTTAACTACTGACCCATCTCTCCAGTCCTTAAGTTAGCTAATTTAAGGAGCTATTGTCTTTTTAACCATTAAAGCTGTGTGATCCTGGTAACCGGGTAGCTATAAGTCAATGAACAGAAAATAGCCAGAAAAATCCAGATACAGATGACCACAGACATGTTCCACTGACCTCTGAGAAAACAATACAGGCAATTCCTTCAGGAAAAAAAAAACTTTTCTTTTTGACAGGGTTTCTCAGTGTAGCCCTAGCTATCCTGGAAATCACTGTCTGTAGACCAGACTGGCCTTGACTTTCAAGACCCACCTGCCTCTGCCTTCCAAGTGCTGGGTTTAAAGGTGAGCACCACCACAACCAGCTGTAAGAGAGCTTTTGAGAGGTCCTTGAACCACAAAACACAAGCTGCACCTCAGCCTCTATGAACAGGCATCATAGATTAAAACCTAAAACTATGGAATCTTAAGGAAAAAAAGACAGAAGAAATTCTCAGCATTCAGGGGTAGGGAGAGCGTTCTTAGACTCGACAACGAGCTTGGTGAAGACCTGACAAAATTGTATTTCGGCAAAAATACAAATATTTACTACTTGAAAAAAATACAGATTTAGCAGAGGTTCTCAACCTGTGGGTCATGGCCCCTTTGAGGGTCGGATAACCCTCTAACCCTAAGAAATCAGAAAACACAAGTTGACATTCCGATTCGTAACAGTAGCAAAATTGCAGTAACGAAGTAGCAACGGAAATAATGTTCCGGTTGGGGGGTCACCACAGCAGGAGGAACTGTATTAAAGGGTCCCAGCGTTAGGAAGGTCGAGAACCAAGACTTCTAAGATCAGAAGAAGTCTGAGAGCTGGGAGGTGGTGGTGCACACTTTTAATCCCAGCACTTGGGAGGCAGAGGCAGGAGGATCTCTCTGAGCTCGAGGCTGACCTGGTCTACAGAGTTCTGGGACAGGCAAAGGTACACAGAGAAAATATGCCTCAAAAAACCTCTTGAAAAAAAGAAAAAAAGAGAGGAGAAAGAAGACAGAAGTTTGGGGTCAGTACTCACGGACACTGTGTCTTGCCCAGCAGCATCTACGAGGCCCTGGGTTAGATCCCTGTCCCAGCTAGCTTCCTACGGCTGTGACAAAACACTGACCAGAAGCAGGGAAGGAAGGGTTCTTTGGCTTACACTTCCAGGTGGCTCTCCATCACTGAGGGAAGTCAGGGCCAAAACTCCAAGCAAAGAGGCAGGCGGTGAAGCAGAGGCAGCCATGAAAGAGTGCTGCTTACTGGCTTGTTCCTGATGGTGTCCTAAGCCAGGCCCACTTGCCCAGGTGTGGTAAGACCCATGGTGAGTTGAACTCTCCCCCATCAGTCAGTAATCAAGAAAATGCCCCACAGGCCAATCTAATGGAGGCAAGTTTTTTTTTTTTTCTCAATTGAGGGTTCTTCCCAAATGATCCTAGTTTGTGTCAAACTGACAAACAAAAGAACAAAACAAAAACAAAACAAAACTCAAAACCCCCAAATCAAGAAAACAACAAAAAACAAAACAAAAGACAACTATGCAGCCATGGGGGTGCGTGGGGGGGATGGGGGGTGGGGGAGGGGATAGCAGAGGGTGGGAGGCCTGGAGTTCCTGGCTGACTCTGAGATGTGAGGCAGGTCACAGGGCAGCTCCAAAGACAGAGGCAGGAGGAAGCCCAAATAGCACCCTTGCCCAGTAACCTGGCCAATTCCACATATCTTAGATATGGCAAGGAGACTTAATATGTATAAGGAGGTCCCAGGATGCAGCCCAAACTTCCCTCATACAGCGCTCACAGGGGTGGGGGTGGGGTGGGGGATGGGATCCAGTACTGGGGAAGCCGCACAGACAGGGAGTAGACCCATCAATGAAGCTGGTAGTGTGAGAGTCTTAGAAGGGCTGGGACTTACAACTCGGGGAGTAAAAATCCCGGCTTCAGCCCTGGGACAAGGTCGGGTCCCCTTAGAGTATGCTGAAGGACAATAAAATCAGGAAGGGGAGAGGGGCCCATGAGGCGGGGTGAAGCTGGGTCAGGTATTGGAGAAGAGTACATAGAATACATCCCTTGGTGGTGATGACCATGTCCTGCCCCCACCTAGGACACACTCCTTTATCCAGCCAAGGAGATGGTATGAGGAGATCTCATACCATGATGGGACTGTCCTGCATTATCCACCATAGCTTTGAGTTCCAGTTCCGGAAGGCTGGGGATGAGGTCTGGAGGAGAGACAGAGAGATGGGGAAGAGAGAGAGGGAGGGAAGGGGAAATGGAGGCAGAAACAGCCCAGGGGAACAGTTTTTATCTGGAGCCTCACGGATGAACTTGACCTTTGACCCAGAGTCTGGAACTCTGGGAGTAAACTTTCTGGGGGAGAGGAGGGGGTTGCAGCTGCACCGAGGGGGGCCAGCAGAGGTGGGAAGCAATTTTGTTACCCTTGGCTCAGTGCTCACTGCCCCTTTACAACGTGTGGGGTTAGCGCGCAGCAGTCTGGCTTCCTCCCAGTTCCCAGGCAAGAAGCCAGATGTCTGGGTGGTCTGCTGTAGCAGGCTCTTTAGCAGGAACGTCTCTGCCTTCCCCCAGGGTAAAGAACAACCAGAACCCTGTGTCTCTTTTGCCAGGGTGCTAAACTCAACCATTGGGCTCCAAACCCATGGCCTCTTAGCACCATGCTCTGGACACCTCAGCATCCCAGGTCGTTGATTATGAAAATATAATACTAACCACAAGGTTCAGAGTTCAGAAAATAAAGAGCCCCTGCGACCGATAAAGATGGTCCCAAGAGGAAAATGAGCAAAGGTTTGGTTCCGCAGAAGAGGAAGCTATATGGCCAGTGAGTAAACAAAAAGCTTCCAGCTTTAAAAAAAAAAAAATTAGAAAAGCCACTGGCCTCACCGGCCATCCACGATATGCAAATTAAGGGGGTGGGGCATTCTCCTTCACAAGGCATGATGGGAAGCCAGAGCCTATGACTAAAGACTATAGGGAAGGGTGGCCAGAGTCCTGCACCCAACAAGCTAGAGACTAATTTATCTGAGAAATGAGCAGGGGCAGCTCAGAAAGCTCTGATACAGCTTAATTAGAGTCTGGTGATGTCGGGAGAATAGTTAGCACCGTAAGTTTGTTAGCTGGATGGTTTAGGAATTGCTTGTGCCGAGAGGTTAAGTTGCTGAAGCGACGTCGGCAGGCTGGAAGGCATTTGAAGGTCTCTGCTCCTCCTGGTGTGGATGGGGCAGTATTCATGTTCATAGCTCACGTTAACCTCAGGCTGCGTGTGGCTCTGGGGTCTTGGGAGACTCTTAAGAACAGAAGTTAGATGGTCCTGTGCCCAGGCTGATACCCAGGTCCACCAGTCTTCTGCATTGTCTGAACCAGAGCAGAGACAGTCGACTTTCCTAGCCGGCCACTCAGACATGGGCCCCTCCCCCCACTCCATTCATTTACAGCTGTTGATATCAGGTGTCGCCGAGGATAACCAGAAAGTTATCATCGGGAATCTAGTGCAGTCAGTGCAAGACCCTGAACTCAGGATCCCAGGCCTGGGGGGAGGGGTGGGGGGAGGGGCAGGGGGAGGGAGGGTTTGGGGAGGGGCAGGGGGAGGAGGAAGTCCTTGATGGTGAGGTGGGAAGAACAGTTGGGACTGGAGGGTCTGTTTCCAGTCAGCATAGTAGGTGACTGTCCTGTCCTGTAGGGTGACAGGGTGGTCTCTGAAGTTCCTCGGGTGACAGACAAAAGCAAAACCAAGAAGAGATGTGGCTGAACTGAGTGGGTCAAAGGAGATGGGAACAGCTGCTGGGGTAGGAGGCTGAGAGGCTGAGGTGGAGGGCTCGAAATCCAAAGGCCAGCCTGGGCTACATGGAAAGTTTGAGGTTAGCCTCAGCAACATGGCGAGGAAAACACACACACACACACACACACACACACACAAACATATACAGAGGCATACGTGTGCATACCCTACAGAGACAGAGAGACAGAGAGACAGAGACAGAGAGAGACCAAGAGACAGAGACAAAGAGACAAAAAGACAGAGAGACATAGGCAGAGAGAGACAGAGAGACAGAGAGCTAGAGAGACAGAGACAGAGAGAGACCAAGAGACAGAAAGAGACAAAGAGACAAAAAGACAGAGAGACAGAGGCAGAGAGAGAGAGAGACAGAGAGGGGCACTATCCCCAGTGAATTATTCAAACATGAGAAGTAACATTCTAGAACTCACCCAGAGAGATAGGTGCTTCGAGGAAAGCCAATCCAGGTTGTAAGGGTCCCAACAGTGGACCAAATCCTCATGGAGTGATCTTTCTGGTGGGTCCTCTGGCCCCCAGGGGAGTAGTGCTGGCCCCGTGTCCTGGGAGGTGGCCAGCAGTTTCCTCATGCTTCTTGTAAATTGAGATTTCAGAGTTCAGGTGCATGAGAAGACAAGACCCCGTAAGCAGGGTATGTGTGACCATCTCTTTGTGACCTGTAGTGCCTGGGCTCCTGGGTAGTCACTGTGAGACTTGGAATGTCCCTACTGTCTGTCTTCCAAAAATGAAGGACAGGGCATCTCTTCTTTTGGGACAGAGTCCCACTGAGAATTTGAGGGGTAAATCCCAATTCCCTGTGAGCATTCAGCAGATGTCACTGTCAAGGTGTGTGTGTGGGGGCAATCTGTCTCCCATATCACCGCTCTGGTACATGGTGCCTCAGCCTGCCTCACTTCCCAGCTTCTGTACACATCACTGATACCTTCCCTCTGTTCATAAATGCAGGACACACTCCTGTCCCTGAGTGTCCCCCTTTGTTTATAAACACAGGACACGTGCACACTCCTGTACTCGGGCACCGTTCTCATGTTTAATGTGGAATTTACATCACATCCCATGGGCCAAACACATGAAGATACAGCCAAGGGAAAACCAGAGTCCTTGGAAGCCCAAGTCTAAAACCCAAAGGGAAAAAAAAAATACAGACCCGTTTCTGTATAAGAATATATTATTTAAAAGACAGTTTAAAAATAAAAATTCTGTACAGCATCGTGAATTCCTGTTTTCATATCAGTGAACAAAATGGTTCTTAGAAAACATGATCTGTGGCAGGCCATCATGGGGTCGTCTGGGCGTGACCGTCCTTGTGTGGAGAAGATCCTGGGAAGCCCCGCTTGGCTCTGTCCACTCAGGGGACACAGTTCATCTTTTCTAACTGGTCTGGTACAGTCCGCTGGAAAGAAAAAAAAGAGGAAGATGGTATGATTTTCCTCTGTGGGGCCTGGAGATGGCACAGCCTCAGAATCAAGTGGGGATTTAGATGGTAATAACATACATGTGATAAGAAAGCAGAAAGACTTGGGCTAGGGAGTGCTAGGAGTCAGCACTGCTCTTGCAGAGGACCCAAGTTCGAGTCCCAGCAGGTACAACTGCCTGTAACTCCAGTCCCAGGGTATACAATGCCCTCTCCTGTTCTCTATGGGCACCTGCACTCATGAGCACATACCTATACATGTGTGTGTGTGCGCACGCATGCATATATATGTGTGTGCGTATAATTAAATAAAATCAAATTTTCTTTCTTCCTTCCCCCCCCCCCTTAACAGAAGTAGGGCTGGAGAGGTATTCAGTAGTTAAGGGCACTGGCTAGTCTTCCAGAGGACCTAGGTTTAATTCCCAGCATCCACGTGGTAGTTTACAACTGTAACTTCAATTCCAAGAGATCCAGTGCACCTCTCTGGCCTCTGTAGGCACCAGACATGCCAGTAGTACACAGACACACAAGCAGGCAATCTCTCTCTCTCTCTCTCTCTCTCTCTCTCTCTCTCTCTCTCTCTCTCTCCCTTCTCTCTCCCTCCCTCCTTCCCTCCTTCCCTCCTTCCCTCCTCTCTCTCTCTCTCTCTCTCTCTCTCT